CCACAATTATAAATATCATCATGATCTATATAAAATTTCAATTTATTTGTTACTAGCTTATTATAAATAAATAATAATAATTTATTTCATTCCGTAAGTTTAATAGGCATAACCAAATATGAGAATGAGAATTATCTTACAATTTCTATGTCATTCCATGTTGGCAACCAAGCAATGGAATAAAAATGAACATTCCATTCCATTTGACCTTGTATCGCATTCGCACTTTCATTTCATTCCTACTTAATCTCATGTCATCGTATCAGACATTTACTATTCTAAGTAAAATTTGGATTTTTGAGGACTAGTTAAAAAGGGTAAATTACACTAACACCCCATAAGATTTCTATTTAATACAGATCTCCCTTTCACGTTTGAAAAATTATACTTACCCCCCTATCAAATTAAAATGACATTTTTGCCTTATAGCCTTTATGCATATAAAATAATAAAATAATACTGATATTTTGTTAATGTCATTTTAAGAGAAATAACAATCATCTTCTTTGATTTGACTCACACAAAAAATTAAAAATCTTTATTTTTTGTATTTTTTTACTTTTACTATTTTTTAAAATATGTTAAGCAAATTTTTTGTTTTTTGTTTTTTTTTTATATTTTAGTTTTTAGGAACATCTAATTTAGATATACTTAAGAAGTATAATATTTTGTATTTTTTTATTTAAAAATTCACAAAAAACAAAAAAATACAATAATACAAAAATTCAGTAATATTGTAATAAATGTGAATGACAGTGTTTGGTAATGTTGTAATATATGTGGGTGAATAGACAAGAAATAAAAATGATGATGGAAATAAAAATGAAAATTTCTATTTATATAAAAAAATTTATACAAAAAATATTACAAAAATATTGTGGTAGTAATGTTATTGTAAATATTAATCATGTTTATGAGTGTTTTGTTTTAAAGTGAAAAATCACCATTATTGTGTTTGAAAATTTTATATAAAATTTATGTTTGTATATCATCACTCAATAAGAATATGGGTAGAATTTAATAATGAAATGTTGTAGAATGTAGTCACAATGATAAGAAGAATAAATTGTAGGAAAAATGGCAAAATTGTCATTTAGAAATTTTCAGGGCATGATATCAGCTATTTATGGGCAATTTATAATGAGATTACAAACCTCAGGGAGGGAAATGTAATTTTTCAAACGTGAGGAAAAAATCTATATTAAATAGAAACTTCAGGGGGTGTCAATGTAATTTACTTGCTAAGAAAAAGGGAAACTTATTTATAAGTCATTTTTTAGACACTTATGGTAGGCTAATTCCTGTGTAATTTCTTATAGAGTCTCAAGTTCTATTTAGATAGGAATGTATTCCACAAAATCCTACATAAACATAATGTGACGTGACACTTACATAAACATAACGTAACGTGACACCTATATAAACGTAACGTAACGTGACACCTACATAAATGTAACGTAACGTGTTACGTTACGTTACGTTTCGCAAACTTAATGAGTTTTTATTTTTTTAAATTGAATGTGAAAATGTTGCTGGTTTATGTTGGTGTCACGTTACGTTTCATATAAATACGATATAGATCATAGGTGTCACGTTACGTTTATGTAGGTGTCACATTACGTTACGTATATGTAGATATGATCTATGGTAACATTCAATTTTCTTTATAGGAAATTGAATGTTGCCACAGATCATAGTTGTCACGTTACGTTTATGTAGGTGTCACGTTACGTTACGTTTATGTAGATCTGATCTATGGTAGCATGCAATTTCCTATATATGTTACCATAGATCATAGGTGTCACGTTACGTTTATGTAGATGTCACGTTACGTCACGTTTATATAGATATGATCTATGATAACATTCAATTTCCTATATATGGTTTTACTATTATTTATAATATTAACAACTAATATTTAGGGTAAATGTGTCAACAAACTTCCCACAGGACTTATGGGAACATAAGTTTTTTTAGTAAGATCATATGTAGCATAAGTCTCCCTAATAGGACTTGTAAATAATTTTTCCTAAAAAAATATATTTTTTATTATTTTTTTTATAAAAAAGATCAAAAAGTCACTAAGCTAATTATTAGCCGTTAAAAAAAGTTTACATCACATAAAATGTTTCAGTAAAAAATAAATAAGGCTCCGTTTGGTAGCATAAGTCTCCCTAATAGGACTTGTAAATAATTTTTCCTAAAAAAATATATTTTTTATTATTTTTTTTATAAAAAAGATCAAAAAGTCACTAAGCTAATTATTAGCCGTTAAAAAAAGTTTACATCACATAAAATGTTTCAGTAAAAAATAAATAAATTTTTTAACAACTTCTCAAATTCATTAACTCTTTCAGCTCCCCAGAAAACTAAAAAACATAAAATATAAACCAAACTCCCACTTTATTTTACTTGGGACTAAAATTGCAAATAAATTGAATTGTTCATGAAAAAGCTCGACTTGGCTTGTTAAGGGCTTGGATTGGCTCAGTTCGTTTAGTATACGAGCTGAGTTCGAGCTCGAATAAGTTCGGCTCATCAAATTAATTTTAAAAAATATTAAAAAAATCTTATCGAGACGAATTCGAGCTTAATAAACGAGCTCAATAAACAAACGAACCGAGCTCGAGCTTGCAAAGCTCGGCTCAATTCGACTCAACTCGTTTACAGCCCTAAATGCAGATGTGGTGTGTGAAAATTTACCAGCAAAGGTAGAGGACTAAAACCTCAACCAAAGAATGTTGCTGATTTTGACAATCTCTTAAATAAATAAATAAATGTATGGAGCAGCAAAATTATGTTACATGGGGTTATTGGTTAAAATTGATTCAAAATAGTGATATTTTTAATTGACATTTTGAAGCTCTCAATTTGAAAGTTTTAGTCTAGTTTGAAATTAGATACCCAAAGTGTTTGATGGTTGGTGTGTTAGAACTCTGGGTTAATTTTGTGTTCAGGGCATTTTAGAGATCACAATGCCAATGCTTTTTTTTATTTTTTTCCTGGAGGTAGGGTGGGAAAAAAAAAGGGAAAATGATAGTAGTGAAGATCGTTGCCTTATTTTGTAGGTATGAGGAAGTAGGTGGCAAGGTTGTTAAATTCGGGATCCTACATAGGATCGTAGAAGGGATTGGTGGATCGGATCGAGAATCGTAAGATTTTACTTTCAATGTAAAATAAAATGAAAAATTATCGATAATGATAATATATGTTACATAATTTTAAAAAAGATTAAAGAAAAATGATAAATTTGATATAATGTATATTTTATGTTTATATCAATTAGAAGAGATGTTTGAAAAAAGTGTTTATAGTCAAATTTTATATATATATATACTCATACATACATTTATATAAGAAATAAATAATAACAAAAAAATTTGTTAGAATTGGGATCGTAAATTGAAACGAAAAACTTCTAAAACTCGATCAACAATCACAAATCTCAATGAAAATAATACATATGTTCAACAACACTCATACACACAAAATATATATATATATATATATACATATATTCTCAAAATCTTGAATGAGGAATGTAACCATGATGGTGATAAAACCTAGACAATATTTAATAGAATTAAAATTCTTCTTCTTCGAATTCTCTCTCTATGATAGCAACGACGGCTACGATGATTCCATGGAGACGAGATGTGGTGGTTCTTCTTGCGGGATCTAGTGGTTATTGGAATTACAGGCATCAGGTGATCACGCTTTTCAACTAATCTGAGCTTAATTATCTAGAAAATTTTTTTTTTTGATTAGAGTGACAATCTTAATTTTTGTGTGTTTATTACTGATTCTATACAAACCTAAATAATTGAACAGAAATGTATATATATATACAAATGGAATTGAACATACCAACCACATTAATTAAGGTTTTGGTACAAGAACAGAGCCTACTGACCAATATCAATTCTAATCAACACAATCAATCATTTATGAGTGTGTATATACACATACACACATATGCACACGAAATCACAATTCTTGAATGTAAAATGGAGTAATATGATCAAATGTTAACTGAAATTCAAGATCAATTAATAAGAACAGAGATCGCGAAGTTACCAAAATTGTCGAGAAACAGAGCTTCAAATCTGGAAGGGAATCATCATAGCCGTCGTTGCTATCATCGCCGGAGAAGAATCTGGAAGTTTTTGAGAGAATCAATTAACAAGAACAGAGATCGCGAATTCGTCAGAAATACTCGCCGGAGATTTTGACTGCGAAAGGAAATCTAGCGGAAATCCAGGAGAGAAGCTAAAGCGAAGTTGCAATCCAGGAATATCTCGAGGAAGCGAAACAATTTAGCTATGGTTCGGAGGCGATTGTACCTTAACATAGCTTTTGCCTTCTCCGCCTTCACATTATCGAAGTGGAAAGCATCCATTTGCGAATAGAGAGAGAAATCTAAAGCGAAGTTGCAGTTCGATTTTCCTAAAATGTTGAGGGAAAATTTTCGAGACAAAAAAATAAATAAAGAGACAAATTGGGGAGAGAGAGCAGTTAAAGTGGAGTTGGGAGTGTTGGGAGAGAAGTGAACACAGAGAGTCGACTGTTTATAAAGTGGAGGGACAATGGGGTATAATAGTTATATAAAATATTTAAATAATAAATTTTGTCTTTTATGCAAGACTTTATAGTTATGAGGGGGTTTAGAAAGTATAATTTTTTTCTTAATCCTTTTAACAATGAAAGGAAGGTAAATGGGATTTATACCTAAATTTTCCTAAAAAATAATATATAAAATATAAAAAAATGATATGATATTAAAAAATTAAAAATTTAATTTCTAACCGTATTGTCGAAATAGGCGAAATAACCATGACATTAGAAAAAGGGAATCGACCCAAATCAGAGAGTATCGGGTTTGGTTTGATTGTCAAGTTTCCTGATCTTTAATTATATTTTGGGTGGTTGACTCTTAAACGGTGCCGTTGTGAAATACAATCAACCACCAGACCGACCCAAGTCTCTTTTAACACCTCGTCTTGGCAGGTGCGTTCCTCATCAATGGCCAGCGACTCATCAATTATCTATCTCCAAAACCTAAGGCCAAGTTTTGATATTAACTGAACTTCATCACACGCAAAAATATTCTCCTGTTCTTCGTTGCCTCTCTCATCATCTCTCTTCGTCGTGTATCCCCGATTTGACGTTGATGCCATTGGAGCTTCCAAGTTCAGGATAATTAAAAAAAAAAAGATCAAGAGTTTCAGATCTTGCATTGCAAAACCCTAGGCATTCTTTAGAGCGATCGAGCCATTCGATTTCATAAGGTACTCATATCGTTATTCATTCACATACAAGAACTTTGCGATCATTGACCTCCAACGTGTAATCTACTTGAATTCGTTTCCGTCCATCGTTATCGACGGTGTTTTCGTATAGTTGATTATTACAGAGATTATTGATATTGATTCACTCATTGTCTTAAAATTTAATCTTTCTTGAACTTTATTGAAATTTGAGATGATTAGCTTGTTGATTTTTTTTTTTTTTTTTTTGATTTATCAATTTTGGTAACTGAATTATTGGAATTATATTATGCTTGGCAAAATGCTATTTTTTAATTTAATTTGTTTGAATGATATGTAAAGTGGCCTACTAATTGAAGTGGTTTGCACTACAGAGAATTGAAAGTGTGATGGGTTGTTCATGTATTCATTGCTGGCTTATTATGGAGTCTTGATTATTGATTCCTGGTGGGGAAACATGAACATTGTGAAGGGTGTTGCTGACCTCATTCGGAGGACTTCCACTGGCCACAGTGCAGAGTCTGGTTCAGGCTCCTCAACTGAGAGGTTCTCTCCTCCAACTCCGAAAATCCGTTTCAGGTATTATTCATGCTTGCCGGGTAGTTGGCCATGTCGCTTGCTTATTTGAATTTTATGTTAAACGAAGTACCTTCCATTTTGTCTCTATATATATTTAGAACATATATTTTTATTGCACCATGCTAATTGAACAATTGGTTTGTTCCCATTATGGTGATCCAAGAGATATTAAGTGTGACCATTTTTGTTATCACACCTTGGTTATTCATAAGTAGGTTATTGGGGTGGATGGTGAAAGTGTAATAAAGATTGGATAAGTGTGTGGATGGATCCTTTTGAGTGTAATTTTTCGACACATGATGTTGAACTAGTGAGGATAACCTTGGCCATTAAATTGACGGGGGGAAGCATGTTAGGGGTTCTTAGGGGCTGAATTTAATAAGTTGATGTGGCTGAAATTTTGGTTAAGTAACGAGGTTTTTAGATTTTTTAGCAAAAGGATAGCGTTTTGGATCTGTAATTAGGCATGGAAGATAATGGTATATGACTCCAGCCCAAGGTTTTAAAAAGTGGCCGCAACCGTTACGTAACGGTTTTGGCGGCTACCGCCACCCGTTATGGCCGCTTTTGCAGTGTGATTGAGATTCACAGGTGTGTAGGCTGTAGTGGCTGCCGTAGCGGTCGTAACGGTGCCGTAACAGCCGTAACGGCCTGTTATGCACCGTTACGTAACGGTTTCAAACTGTTTCTTTCGAAAAAACACACAAAAAAAAGCTAAAAGTGGGGGAAGAAGGATAGAGAGAAGAGGGAAGATAAAGAGAGAAAATGGAGGAGCAAGAGATAGAGAGAGAAGAGGGAAGATGAAAAACATGTTATTGATTTTTTGAAACTATAAGACCTATGCTATTCTATTCAGCTGCCATCACTAAACTATTTTGTTTGTGTGTGTCTATTTATATATTGTTTGAAAATAATAATAATAATAATAAGTGTGGTCATTATCTATTTGGCTTGTTAAAATATGCATATATATATAATAGTTAGTGATTGATTTTTTGTAAAATATAAAGTCATTAATTATTAAAATAAAATGTAAAAAACTCAGTTTATAGTAATTTAAAAATATGAAATATATTGGATCATACTTAAAAATTTACAAAAATTGATCAGTATTTATTTTTAACCCAATAAATATGATAATGGAAAAAAAAATGCGTATCGGTAAGTTTTTTTCAAATTGTGTAAAAAATAAAAAAATTCACGGTTCCGGTTACCGCAACCGTTACACTACGGCCTTTACACCCCGCAACCGCAACCGCAACCGCGTCACCGCTACCGTTACGGCGACCGCAACCGCTTTTCAGAACCTTGCTCCAGCCTCTTCTGGAGCTTGTTGAGGTGTTTTTGAATCAGTAACTATAATTTATGCACTCCTAATAATCTAGTTGTTCACAGCCTTGGGTTGATTTTTATTGTCTTCCAGTAATCATAACTCATGATTTTATAGTGAAATTAAACTATGTATCATAACACAACTTCAAGAGTCCTATGAAGTCTTGGTAAAGTATATGACTTCCACTTTGCGACTAGTGCTGGGAATGTAATGAGCAACAGAAGGAGCAACCTGGTGATCATTTAGTGTGGTTTGTCATGGAATATAGGCTATTTTGGGTTCTCACATTCTAATTTTAATGTTTTTAGTATTTAAAACACTGCCACCTGGGCATGACAGGTTCGAAACATGAAATAGTCGTTTCACATGTAGGGGTTAGGCTGTCTACAACTACATCTGACCCTGGTTAGACCCCTACAGTGTGGAGCCTTGTGCATGGAGTTGCCCTTTTATTTGTATCTAAAAGATGTTTTCCCATCCCATGAAATTTTTTTCCGTTCCAATCTTGTTTGAAGCTTCCCCATCCATGGAAATAGGTGGGTTGGTCAACAGATCATGTAGAATGGGATTGTCTTCAATTTATTGAAGCATACCTTTTTCTTGGTCTTCTTCATTTTTTCCTTTTTCTTCTCTCTCTCTCTCTCTCTCTCCCCTTTTTTAAAACTTATTCAAGCTGTATTATTCATGCAGTGCCTCGTTTCCAAGTCATCTACAATTCTTTTGGGTTGTAAACATTGCTTTGCTTGATCCATCTAATTGGTGCTTGTGCATAGGGTTTTGTTAGTCTTTAGTTTTCTTTTCTTTTCTCATCTCTCTCTATCCTTTTAAAACATATTGATTGACCATCTGATCAGAAGTTAACTTCTGAGCATTTTATAATTGTATTTTATTCTTGTTTAACCTTTTCTTTGTCCTAATCATTCCTTTTTCAGCGATGTTGGTGATGAGGCCATTCTAAGTACACTCTGGGGAAGATATGAGAATGCGTTTGATAAGGTATATTTGGGAATTTCTTTGGTGTGGTTTGTTTTTTTCATGTTTGTTTCTCTATGTGAGTGAATGTTTGACAAACTCAACCCCAAAGTTTTGGTTGGCTGATTGATTGCAGCATGTTATGTTGACTTTTGTTCTTTACAAACACCTTTCTGATTGATTTTCTCACTATATTGTTCCCTGTACCTTTATTTTTTTCCTAGGTGGCTGAAAAATTTGAAGATCCCCTAAACCTTTATTCTCTTGAAAATGTTCAGCTTTTTAATACTATGTGGTAGTTCCTTAGTTTGCTTGGACATATAAAACAAATCAATGTTTAATTATTTACTTGAATGGAAAATCACTCATACTGCCTCCTTAAAATGTTGTTAGCTTCAACAGAAGGGTTTTTAAACAAAGCCAGATTTTTGTTCATCTGATGTGCTTCATGAGATGGTGAATAGCATTCTCCCAAGAATGACTTAAAACATTTGCCATCAGGACCTTTCGTCATTACATGGGTCCCGACTCTGGTGTGAGTATGATTATTGGATTCATCTAATTCTCCAATCCAAGAACACTGGATCACAACTAGATTTCATATTTTTTTTTTTTTTATCTTTCTCGGTCAAAATGATGTTTACAAACTAGAGCATTTTATGAGTCTTATGCATAGATAGCAAACTCAACTTCAAGGTATACAGTTCATGTCCATCGAAGCATGCCAGACACATCCCATGACCTGTTTGAGTATTGAGTGTCCGGCACAGGTGCTTCACAAATTTAGAAGAGTATAGCTGGCGGTTGGTGAAATGGATTTTATTATAGAGCATCCTTAAACATAAAAGTTTACCTGTTAATTTAGTGCTTTGATTTCACCTCTTCCTGTTTCCGTTAGTGAAAGATGAAAACTGCTATGTGGACTCTGATTTGGCTGGATTCCACCATAGTTTGGGATTTTTATTGTGGCACATCAAAGGTATTGTTTTTTTTTTTTCCCCCTTCATGATTAAGATCTGAAATATGCTTTCATCTTTTATATGAAGGCAGGTAGTGTTTAATCTTTGTAGGTTCAATGCTTTCAAGTGTTAATAATATAACCCTGTTTAATAAGCCAATTTTGTTCATTATCTATGTTTTTCTTGATTTGTATATCTATATTGAACAATCTTCTTCATCCATAATTTTTAAAGTTTTTTATGAATAGGGTGTGCAAACTTTTTAGTTTGTGTTGGGCAGTTTCTCTCTCAAATTATGCACCAGGCTTGGGATATTATATTTCTCTGCTATTTTTTTTTTTTGTGTTGGTTCGATATAGCCTAAGATGTCATGCTAATGTATTAATAAAAATAAATGAAGTTATTCCAACGAATATGCCAAATTGAACTTGTATTTGTCTTAGCTTCCTTGTTGGTTGAGTTATTCTGACCTTGATAAACAAATTTCAGGCAAAGAAATTGTTTGTTTAAAATAAACCTGATTTAGACATGCTCTGTCTGCCATACCTTGGTGTTTGTCAGTAAATCTTGAGATGCTGTTTAATGTGGTTAGATTACCTGCTTGGATTTATGCATTGTCACACCTAAGTGTTCTGTTTCTGTAACAGTTCATTTATTTATTTATGTATTTATTATTACAGGTTGAAAAGAGAAAGTTGTTTTTTATTTTCCTCAAGCAATTTCTAATTATATACAAGAATTGGGAGCCTGCATATCCTGATCAGTTTGCAGAGGCGGCTTTGCCTTCTGCCTCAACTGTGGATGATATAGTGGTTGGCTGCTGTACTGGACATCCTTCTGAAATTAGTCTCACTTTTATTGAAGAAGTCACACATGTAACTACTTTGGTAAATGAATGTAAGTTGGATTTTATATCTAATATACAGCTGATTGATTCTTAGTAAATGTAAAGTTTATATTTGTTCTCCTGGTAAATTGATCTTTAAGCCAATGTTTACTTGGGTTCTTCTTTTTGATCCTCTGTTGGATTTGCAGATTAGTTTTATTAGGTGAAGATTCTCGTAGAATGGCTTGACTAAATTTGATGCGACTTTCCTCATTTCTCTTCCATCATGCAATTGCTGTTATTTTTATGGATGAATTATTTTTTCCTGAAGGAATGTGGGTTAGTTTCTATTGTAGGCTTGACTTTATGAGAATTTTCTTCAAACTGTGATGGGAAAAATAAAATGTTGATTTGTTTCATGGGATATAGATAGAAGTTAGAACATATTAAAGACAGAGAAGAAAGATAATATATATATATATATAGAGAGAGAGAGAGAGAGAGAGACCTAGATGCACTTGGTGCCTCTTGTTAGCAAGCCTAATTCTTTTGGTGCTATGAGCTTCTGTTAGAGAAGCTAATATTTTTCTCCACCTTCCAGCTCTGTTCCCCTTTCTCTTCTTCAATCAACTGGTGCATAATATTTATAAATTGTCTTTGGTCTTTTGGGTGCATGGGTAACCTTCTTCCACGGTGGTCTTGTGGATTTCAGTGACAAAACAATTATAGTGGCCCTCTATTTTATTTTAATTTCAGTATACCATTGATAGAAAAGTTTAAATGTTTAGTTTTTTTTTTTTTTTGCAACACATATATTAAGAGTTGGAATAATTGTTTGCCTATAGATGTGATCATTTTTTCCATATTGGTACTTGTGCAAATGCATAAAATCTGACATGTTTTTAAATGTATTTTTATTCTTCCCATTATTAATCAGTAAACACCAGCGTAGTGCAATCAACAAAAGATCAAATAGGGACTTCAACGAGCTTGACTATAACATCTGAGGGGTTGCCTGTCTTGGATGCATTGACTATTGTAACTCGGTCAATGCATAATTGCCGAGTTTTCAGCTACTATGGTGGGATTCAAAAACTTGCTGCGTTAATGAAAGGTAAAACAATCAGCTTGATGCTGATAATTTCTCTTTGTGCATAATAAAATCTTGGTTGGAACTGATTTCAAAGATGGAGCTTTCCGTAGTTGATGTATGATTTCAAATTTCTCATTATACAATTGTTTTGTTCCATTTATCGAATTTTCAAGTTGTAAATACCAATATAGTTTCAATATCTTTGTTAGTTCAGTTATTTGGGTTTGCACAACGTAGTGTTTGGCTTAAGCAGAGTGAAGAAGGATAGGAACGAAGTGGTTTAGCCACTACATTTACATACTCTTAGCTTTCAGTCTTTTCTATATTATATCCTTTACATATTCATGATGGCTCTATTGTTGATAAATTTGCCTAGGCTTTTGTTATTTATGTGTTTTTTCTTCTTCTTCTTCTTCTTTCATCTTTTGTGTTTTATTTGTTTATTTATGTTTGGGGAGCAGTGGGGGGATGGTCGAAGAAAAGTGGGATGACTTGTTTATTGAATATACATAGAGTTCTTTCAATTAGTTAGTTTGTGTGCATGTTGCACATCCCATGAGAATAATTGTTTCTTGTATGCATGTATTCTCAAACAGAAACACATACGTACCATAGTTATTCCTATTTTACATGTTTTCTGTCAGAAACGAGAATTAGAATTATGTTTTGATTTGCCCATTTGTCTCCTATATATATATAATACAAGAAAATATACCACATCTGATTTTTTTTTTCTTCCCTTTTTTTGGTTTATTATAGTACTGAAGCAAAGCATTATGATATATGACAGTTAAACTTCTTGATTACAGAGAGACTGTATATTATATACAAGACTATAAGCAATGAAATTGTCATTGTTATATGTTCTATGAATTGAGGATTATATACGAGACTATAAGCATCAAATAACAAATTCTATCCCATAAACCCTCTATGTCTTCAATCTTTTCCCAAAAAATCCATGCATCCCTTTCCAATCAAATTACCTAAATACTGCGGATGATTCACACTCGAGAATTTGAGCTTTCCTATCAAGGCCAAACCCTTTGAAGTCAATAACTAGCATCTGAACACAAGAGGAAGGTAATCCATTCCATTTCCATTGATCACTATAATTTCCACCATAAAGCCAAGGCCACAAGGCAATGCAAGGCATTCAAAACCCCAAGGCCATTTTTCTTATTTTTTCTGTTATTCATAAGCATGGAGCATAATATCTTAATAGGATTTTGATGATTAGCATATTAACATTGTGATGTTTTTTTCAGCGGCTGTTGTCCAACTCAAGACAATTACTGGCGCGCTTTCTGCTGATGAAAATTTGTCAAGCTTTATGTTAGAGAAGACCAGAATTTTGCAACAATTACTTGTATATGTGGTGTCAATTATATGCAACTTCATTGTTCTACATTCTGATGTATATGAAAAGACTCAGATGTACAACAGTAAATTGGAGTTTTCTGTTCCAAGGGGTGGTGCAACTTTAACTGATCCTTCTGCTAGCCTGAATAATCCCCTTTTTGAAACAAGGCTACATTGGCATCAGAAAGCTGTTGTGTTGGTGATGGAAGCTGGTGGCCTTAATTGGTTAGTAGGTAAGGTAGGCAATTTTAGATTTTCTTAGTGTTCTGTTTGCTTGTTTATACATTAAGAGAACTGTACCAGTCATCTCCAAACTTATTGAAATGCATAGTGATTAATGTGCCTTTTTGGTTGGATTATCATGGCCTCAAGTTTGTATTAATGTATTAGATGAGATACTTCATTATTGGGGCAGAATGTTGTGTAATTAAAATGTGATATGCATTCTATGGTGATCTTTTCCCATTAAGTTTCTTTATAATGGCTTGTTCATCTCTGGCACTTGTGTCTCTTAGTCTGATAGTGCTGCACACTGCCTATATTGCAAAAAATTCATCCATTCTCATGTTAGGGGAAATCTGAAATCAGTTGGATGGGGATAAAATAATCTCATTTTCATGGGGAGCAAGTCTTTCCTGTGCACCTAAAAGATTCCCGTGTATGGTGCAATTATTTAAAGACTATGACACTGAAATGCTTTTTCTCCCTCATTCATCTAGTCAGTAAAGCTACCCAAATAATGTTATGCCTGCAAGAAGCTTCAAAACTATTTGGTGGCATTAGGTATCAGACCATCTTGCCTCTTTGTCTTCCATTAGGCTTCTGCTCCTTTAAATTTTTTTTACATATGAACTGATGTTATAGCAAAATTCTTTTGTTTGATAGAAGGAGAGAAGGTTAAAAGGTGATGAGAGAATTGTTGAGTAGCAAATGGAATGTTTTAATTCGATCAGATTTAAACAGATCAAGTAGTTTGAAAAGTCAATTGGTGAATTTTACCCGAAAAGCAGCTAAATTCTTCATTTTTGTGTCTGCCCTAACTCATGATTAAAGGTTAGGAATTCAAATGTTGGCTCTCTACAAACTTAGCACAGAAGAAGATTCTTGAAGAAAAATATTTTTAAGTTGACCTAATTGAAACTTTAACATGGAAGACAGGTGTATTTATTATTAAAAAAAGAAAAAAAAAAAAAGAGTAAACAGAAGATAGTTGTGAAATGTTGATTTTAATCTGTACTTGGCACAGAAGATGATTCTTTGCATCCGGACTACATTATTGTTTTTTGTTTTCTATGCGTCCTTTTTCTATTCTTTAAAATTCACAGAAATTGATTGTGTTTCAGAGCTGTTGAGAGTGATGAGAAGGTTGAGTATGAAAGAACAATGGATGGATACATCACTTCAGTATTTGACTTTGAGATCTCTTCGTTCTGCATTAGCTGATAATCCACGTGGTCAAAATCATTTTAGAAGTATTGGAGGCCTTGAAGTTCTGTTGGATGGGCTAGGACTTCCATCAAATAATGCTTTGAGATCAAAGATTTCTTCTTTTTCTGATATAGAAAGGTAATTTATTTGAAGTGGTTGTCTGCCTTTGCTTGTGTTTCTGGTATTCTGGTTTTTCGTTTTTGATAATGCTGAGACTTGAGATTAATTGTAAAAGGGTTGCTAAACTTCTTAAAAGTTGTGAATTTCATTGGTTGAGCTCCTTAATAGTGTAACATATAGTGAAGGTCAAAGGTCACACCTAGTGCACAAAGCTTCTGCTTACAACAGGGTCTGAAGAGGTTGTAGGTAGGCAATCTTACCCCTATTTTTTTTTTTTTGGAGAGCCTACTTTCCAGGACTTGAATCCTTATCACAAGGTTGAGGGTGGATAACACCCTGCCATCACTTCAATTGACAACCACTTATTGTAACATATATTCTCCTAAATTTTTTGGGATCAATGTAGTTCACACCAAATTTGAGTTTTTGTTTGCTTCAGTAAGAACCAGGGAAATGAATTTAAGATGGTAAAAAATCTTTGAGTTTCCTTTCTAGAGCAGTTTTTAGAGGTTTTCTTTCCTTCTTTGACTGCAAAATCCAAATGGATAGTAAGAGAAACTGATCAAATTGTTGAAATCACTACAAATTTTTTACAATAATTTTCAGATAGTGTTGCAACTGGTCAATTTTTATTATTTTATTTTATTTTTCTAATTTATTTAAGGTGGTTTTTCTTTCCATTTTAGAGGTTGCTTTACCAAGTTATTAGCTTATATATGAAAATATACCTACATAGATACACACGCATAGATATATATATTTGTTTCTGTTCATTGTCTACTTGTTGTTTGACTCCTCGTAATCTTAAGGGGAGTTGCTTGGATATATGATGCTTCTAATGCAGACTCTTGTGGTTTATGGAACGGGATGGGTAGGTTGTACATTGTACAGCTGATGTTGTTCATCTGAGTTTGTCTAGCTTATACTAAGTTAGAAACTGATGGATAATTTGAAATTATCAATTTGTTTTTCTAAATGAATTCAGTATAAGATGGCATGAATCTTCTGTTCTCTTTTTATGGCTTGTTGGCTTTGACAAAAAATATTTTTTCTTCCTTTTTATTTTTATTTTTTTGTATTGGCCTCTGTTTATTTCTTATGGGTACTGTGACAATGTTCCAAACCTTTATAGTTTATCATATAATTTTTCGTTGTTATTGTCGAAGTTGCCTCACAAATGGGGAGAATAAAGGGGCATGGCAGAGAGAATTTTTGGGGTTGCTAAACTTATAATATTGTTGTCATGCTATTTGGTTGACAGTGAGTTAGTGTCCCATCAGATTTCATTAACACTAAGATGCAGAATATAAAGTTATACTGTGATTTCACAAGCTTTTTTGGATGATAATTCTATTTTTGTCCCTCTTTAACTCCTTAAGCCTGTAGGCCGTTTCATCTATAGTGTTAAGTGTTCATACCAAGCTCACACTTGTAGTACAATTATTTGCTTCCTCACTGAGATGGTTTTAGATAAGATTTCATGTTGGATCTTAGACCAATATGGGAATTTTTCAGAAGCTTTTAATGTTGGCGGGCTATTTTAGTACTTACAATTAATTGAATTTTTTTTTTAAGCAGCTATTAGGTTTGTAGTTGATTTTGGGCCAATAAGGAAGGAACTTAACGAGATTGACTTTGTGGATGTTTGATGTTTGAAGGGCACCACACTTTGCAATCCGGTATTTAGGTCAACTGGCTGTCATTGTGATTTTGTTGTGTGTTTTGCCCTTTCTTACACAACATGCTGTTAAGTTTCAGATAATTTTCATAATTCCTCAAACCTATGCCTCAGATATTATTTAAAGAAAAAGGGAGCCAGACTTTGTTGCATATTCTCAAGTTTGCCAAACTTTTACTATTTTGACTTTTTGGCCACATAAATGTAGCACTGTAGGGAACATTTTCTTGGGCATATTTTCTATCACTGCTCTTCATTTCTATACTTCACAAAAACCTGGAGCTTACATTTAGGCTTTTTATTATAGGAAAAAATGGGCTTAGACTTGCAGAATATCTACATGTTTTTTTAGAGATATGCTCTAATAATTTAGAAGCTAATCAATTTTGGTTTTTGCCTCAAGTCTTGATTTGCTTGCTCTTAAATGTATTCTCTTCCTGCCTCACTCACTCAGTAACTGTCTATCTATAATACAGAAGTCGTCTTCTGGAACGCTCTGTTTGAACTATTGGAAACTTCATATGGAACTGATATTGGTAGCTGGATGAAAGAGCATTCTATACCCCTCCCTTTTTAATTTAATCTTTTCTCTTTTGAGCATCCTCATGTATCTTGCAATCTTACTTGTCAAACCCAGCGTCAACATTGACCTTTTGTGGGTGGGATCAGTGAGTTTTGTGGAGAGTAGTTATAAATATATTAATTTAGGGAAATTCTACACGCACACCCCCTTTATATGCGCCTTTAGTTACGATCTTTGTGTCTTTGGTTACATGACCTATTGTGCTATTAGTTATGACAGATTGTGATGTTGGTTATGACATTATTTTGGTTATAATCTAAGAGTTGTTTGGTTATACCTCATTTGATGTTTGGTTATAACTCAAATTTTTATTTTTATTTTTTTTATAGTTATGACTCCCATAGTATTGAGTTATGCTATTTGTGATAATCAAACTCATAGATGACATAACTTGCATATGGTACAAATGGGTGTACCATAACATTACCCATTAATTTAAAGTGAGATTTGGTTTAGTTATAAAAATCTTATAATAGAGAGATCAGGACATATTCAACAATGACCCTTGCACCTCTGCCTTTGTGGATAAAAGGAGATATGACTCAAGTAAATAAACAGTGGTCTATGCATTGAATGCATATAACATATATTACTTAGTTATGAATGAATTATCTGCGAATTTGCATCTCTCTCTGTCTCCTTTTCCCTGTTAGGCCTCGCTGGTCTTATGACTATGCTTTATATAAGTCAACTTAACTGGCCTGATAACAACAATCGTTTGTGAGGTGGTGCAGTATCACTGGCCATTGTGAGAGTTGGTGCTGGCAGGCTATTATATCTTGTTTTGACTTTCTTCAGTTTTACATATGGCCTTTCATTTTGTCATATATTTGTCCTTATGATTGCATGCTGGAATTTCTTCTTGCTCATACTTGTATTTTTGTATTTACTCTTGCTTTTTGTTAGTCTTTTTTATAGTGTATGCTTAAAAAAAAAATCTGCTTTTGTGTTTTCCCATAGCCTTAAAATATGAAATTGTCCATGTTCTCAACTAATCTCTTTAAAATTAGAAATTTCAATCCTTAAGTTTAGCTATGGTATGATTTTGAACTTTTTATGCTATTTCAATATGCATATTGATTGCTTCCAATATGTTGGTGTCCATGTTTTATGTGCAAGTGGTTTTCTGTATGCTTAAATATGAAGCAGTGTGCTGTGTGTCCATACTTTAATTTAGATATATTTTTTAATGCTTGTAAATTAATATAGCTATCATAAGATTTTGACTTTTTATCCTATTTCATCATACATATTTTGTTGCCTTTAATATGTTGGTTTTATTTTATTTTGCAGGGATAAAAATCCTTTACTGGCTATTTTTCAGCTCCATGTTCTTTTTTTGGAGGTTCTTAGGGAGGCTGTGTATCCTTTTCACCCACTCATGCATTTTGTTCACATAAATGCCTCAAATACCACCTCAGCTCCTTTGCTAAAAGTGAGCATGCATCCTCTACTTATGCAAGAATGAACTTGGGTAACCGAATTGGGTGCCCTTAGATTATAAAAATAAGAATTTGTTTTGCAGCAAGGATGGCTGTCCTTATGTTGCTTTGGTATATGTTAGAATTTACCATAAACCTACCACCACTACCACCTCACCTACTCCACTAAACCTAACCCACTACACCACTACCACCTCCACTTCACCTACTCTCCACCTACTCCCAAACACACTCCTATATAATAGGAATCCTTGTAATTGTAATAGATACACATCAATCATACAACAATCAATAATACAATCATTTCTCTTTATACATTAAATTTCTACAGTATATTATGCACTTTAATTACCAACTTTGGCTTCAAAATCCTGTTTTGACAGTAGGTTTTCTGAATTGTGGTTTTTGTAATGCTAACTGTTACTGATGTCCTTAACCAATTTCCAGATTTGGTAATTTGAACAACTTGCAGTTTCTATGTGAGAATGGAAGGGTACATAAATTTGCCAATAGCTTTTGTTCAGTTGCCTTCATGCTTCAAGAGTACAGGCAGCAGACCAATGATTTGTCTGGGCAGGAGGATTTTCAAATACTTGTTTCTGACTCCAAAAACAATAATTCAAAATTTCATGATACAGAGTCTTCTACTGAACTTTTTGTCAATTTTTTTATACGACATTGGAGTGATTATGTTGTCAAGTTAAGCAGAGTCCTTGCTTTTTTCCTTCTTGCACCAGAAGATATTAAATCTCATAATGTCCAAGTATCAGCTGGTAGAAGTACCATTCCAGTTTCTTCATTATATGGGGAACTTTCGATCAAGTGGTTCATGGGGGCTCTTCTTATGGTATTTCCATGCATTAGGGCTTGTTCAAGTCAAAATCAGTTGCCAAATCCCTTAAGGTTAATGATACTTCTATGTGTTTTTTTGTTCATCCCTTTGCTTATGAAAGTAGTGTATGCTACTCTGCCAAATTGTTTTGCTGCTTCTCATTACACTAATACTTACTTATTTTGTTGCTTTTACTCTTTTTTTCCTCTGGCTTTTCCTGTTTCTGCAGGATTTTTTTTTATACACTGCAGCATTATGCGCTCTTTGCATTCAGGAAGGTTCTCGTTTCATCACCTTCATTACTAGATGTTTTTCGGGCAGAGGGAGTATGGGACCTTATCTTCTCTGAGAATTTTTTCTATTTTGGGCCAGCTTCAGCAGAATGTTTTGGAGAGTTGCGCAAGTATGATGAGGTTCCTCCATGGAACTTGGAAATATATTCCAGTTCCGACGGCCTTGGCAGTCAATTAAATGGTAGTGAAGTTGATATTCTTCAAATTGAAGTAATCTCTTTTGTGGAATTTGCAGCAACGTTAAATGGTAGTTCACATAACTTGGTAGGGTCTTCTTTCTTTTACTTTGTTGTACTTATCTGCTATAGACATTTGTTGTTCATTTAGCTGTATATGTTTGTCCTAGGGCATAATTATATATTTAATTATTGTGTTATATGGACACGTGTTGTTTATGTACAACTAAATCTTGATACAAGTATCAGTGCAGAAAGAGGTGTAACTCTCTAATATGGAAGTTATGGATAAGTGTTGTGTATATTTGTTCCTTCATTTATTCTTTCTTCTTCCCACTCTTTTTGATAGATTTAGAAAAGGATGAAAGGAGAAAAGGCGAAAGCCGCTGAATTATATCTTGTACTATTTTGGGTATGATAAGTTTATCTCTATGGCATCTGGACTTATGTTGGCTTAGCTCATAATTTCTTCATATGTAGCATTTCACAAGATAATTTTGTATGTGGATGTGTCCATGTGGTGTAGGAAAGTTTTAGGAAACTTGACCAAAGGCAGCCTACAAATGGATTTGTGGTGCGTCTTAGCTGTGGAAAAGTTACTAGGGTTATGTTCTGGTGGGTAGAAAAAAAATTATAGGGTTTCTGGATGGAAGATAGGGAATTTTGGCTTGAATTCTGAAAGTTTCAAGTTGCTGATCTATAGAGTTGGTGCAATTATAGCAGCCCACAGTTAGATATAATTGCATCCCATTATGTGCCTCTTTAAAATTCGAAGTGTAAAATTTTACATTATAGCATTAGCATTTAGATGTATGATGTTTTTGGTTCTTTGTTGAGATAGAGCACTCTCTCTCTCTCTCTCTCTCTCTGAAAATGCCTTATTTTGTTTCCCTATTTTCTCCCCAAAATTTTTGCAATTTTCTTTTGTCTTGCATGGTACCTAATTTCATGCAAGTCCTTTGTTTCTTTCAAGCATCTATTGACAGTTTGAGCATGTTTGGTACGAAGGAATGGAATGAAGTGGGAATGTTCATGTTCATGTTCATGTTCATGTTTCTTCAATTGGTTGGTTGCCAACGTGGAAGGACATAGGAATAAAATGATAATTCCCATTCTCATGTTTGGTTATGACTTTAAATTAATGGATTGAATTTTTTTTCAACAAGCTAATAAGAATCAAATTAAAAATTCATATAGATCATGATAGTTATGGAAGTGATGGTGTGAGTGGTGGTATTGGTCGTGGCATCAGTGGTGGTGATGGTACGAAACTAGAATTTTATCACCGTAGGGCCCAAAAGATGATTAATATTTTTTCACCCTATACACAAAGACACATGTAATAATTTTTCATAGAAACAAGGGGGCCATGACCCCCTATAGTCTTCTCCTAGTTCCATCCTTGATGTCAGTGGTGGTAGGTCACTGTGGCGTTGGTGGTGGCGGTGGCGGTGTTAGTTGTGGCGATGACAATGGTGGTGGAGGGTAGCGGTAGTAGAGTGGTGGTTCTCGCAATAGTAATGGTGGTGGTGGTGTGGTTTTTGTAAAAATGGTGGTAGTGGTGGTAAGGTAATGGTTGTGGCAGCAATGGTGGCGGGTAGTGGTAGTAGAGTGGTGGTTCCCGCGATAATGGTAATGGTGGAGTGTTTTTTGTGAAAGTGGCAGTAATGGTGGTAAGGCAATGGTTGTAGTGGCAGAGGCAATGGTGGTGGTAAGAGCGGTGGTAGTAGGGTAGTATTTCTAGCGACGGCGGTGGCGACGGCGAAAATGGCGGTGCTAGGTTGTTGGTGGTATGGTGTTGTGGTGGTTATGGAGGTAATGGCAGTGGTTATGATGCGGTGGTTGTGGTTGTGGTGGTGATGTGGTGGTTGTAGTTGTGGCAGCAGTGGTGGTGCTGGTGCTGGTGGCGGCAATAGGGTGGTGGTTGTGGTGCTGATAGTAGTAATAATGGCAGTGGTGGTTTGCATCGCCTTGATGCTTTTCTAATAAATTTTGATTATTTATCCAAAAAAAAAAATATCAAATAAAATAATGGCAGTGGTGGTGGTGGTGGAAGGGGTGGTGGCAGAAGGAAATGGAGGTGGTAACTAATTGATTGTGTTTTATAATTATTCAACAATGGAATGGAATGACTATTCCTTAGGTTGAAGGAAGAAATATGCATTCTCACATTTTGTTTATATAGCCATTCCATTGAAATGACTATTCCCATTTAGAAAAGACGTACCAAATATGGGAAAGGGAATGCGAAGGTAGAATGGGCATTCCATTTCAACCCATTTCATCGTACCAAATGTGCTCTGTGTTTAGTGGAAGGCATAAATTACTAAGTGAAATTAGATCTTGTTGAACTTGGCACAGTTGGCTTTTAGTATGTAATCCCATCATGTTTTGCATTCGTTCCCTCTGATTTGCCACCAGAATTTGTCCTTCCTTCTGCTTATTAAAAAAAGAGATAAATGCAAAGCACCTTTCACATGATTAGCTGGAATTAAATCTACACCTAAAAAGCACGGATACTTCTAAGAAGTTGTTGGCATATCCATGCCGTGTCAATGACGGACACGGACACTTATTGGACACTTCCTGACATGTGTTCTACACTTGTCAAAATATGTTCTATTTTTTAAAAGGTTTTTTAGATCCGGACACTTAGTGGATACACATCTCCATTGCTTAAATACACTTGCCTACCGATTAGACACACATGAAACTAACTATAAGTTTGAAGTAAATAATTTAGGATACAATAATAAAAGAAGAACAGTGTAAATTTATAAAATGAGTGTTATATTAGATTTTTTTTATTATCATTGAATGATATATTCATATTTATGACATGTAATAAATATATAAAATTATATATTTTGTATGTGTTCCCCATGAGTCGTGTCTTGCATTTTTTGGAAATTGGAGTGTCGGCATGTTTGTGTCGTATCCATGTTGTGTCACTTGTCCATTTCAGCTCTTCTTAGATCTACACACATTGAATTTATTTTCGTTGCATGCCTTTTCAACCTATCAACCTCTCTCTGATTTTGAAGCAACAATTTATGGTATCCAAGTGATCTGTATTTGTCAATGTCATTGCTTTAGGAAATAGAAACCAGGCTGCAGTGTAGATGCTATATGTTTTTTGAATTTTATGTACTTAGATCATGTGGATATGTGCTTATGTTTAATAATTTGCTTGTAAAACACAGAATCCTACATTTGGATGGTATTTTTTTTCAGTTCATATGTGACTATATGTGTATGTGTTCTTGTTTGTGATTTTGGTTTTGAGTTGTGTGAATGTTTGTATGTGGAGCACCAATTGTTTTGAGGGATTTATATTCTCTGTTTCTCATAGTAATTTTGAGGGATTTGTTTTCTAATTTGATTGCGTTAAATTGCTCCATTTCTGCTTATCTTTACTTTTTCGTGTTCTTGCAGCCCGAGTGTTCTGTTTTGTTAGATGCCCTTGAACAGTCTGCTTGTAATCCTGAGATTGCTGGTGTTCTTGCAAAGAGCCTGCTTCGAATACTACAGCTTTCAACTGAGAAAACTTTTTCTTCTCTGAAGACACTTGATGCAATTCCTCGGGTGCTCAAAGTTGCATCTATTTTGGTCCAAGAATCAAGAAGGCCTGAGAATATAAATCCTTTTGTTGAGAGTAACATAGAAGTGGTTCCTACTCATGGTTTTCACAGACCTCATTCATCTGAAATATCCCATAGTTGGTACAGAAGTGCAGAAACATCAGTGGAGCTCTTTGTGGAATATCTCTCGCTAACAGATGATGCGAAAAGTTCAATTTTGCATAGTTCCACTTGTATTGATTGTTTGTTCGAGTTATTTTGGGAAAAAGGTTTGAGAAATAATGTGCTTGCTCATATTCTTGACTTTATGAAGGTATTCCGTTTGTATTTCTTCTTTGTTAGACATAAATGTTTTGTCTATTATCACGGTTAGCCAATTGAGTTAACCTTTTCAAGGGATGGGTTGGGGTCGGGGTTCATTATGCTTGCAGATCTCTCCAATTTCTGAGGAAGACCAAAAGGCAAAGTTGTATTTATGCTCCAAGTATTTAGAAACATTTACTCATGTAAAGGAGCGGGAGAAAAACTTTGCAGAACTGTCAATCGATCTATTGGTTGGGATGAGAGATATGCTTCTCACTGATCAAGCGGTACATTTCTCCGAGTGACTACTTTCTTTAAATTCTTGTGACACTTAAACTCTCTTAAATTGTGTTTCAGCAAATTGGCTTACATGGTATTTTCTATGTTTTTCTCAGTACTACCAGGATTTGTTTCGTGATGGTGAATGCTTTTTGCATGTTGTGTCTTTGTTGAATGGAGCCTTTGATGATGAGAATGGTGAGAAGTTGGTTTTAACTGTCCTTCAAACTCTTACTCACCTACTTACGGGCAATGATGTCTCAAAGGTACTCTCCACGCCTTTACTTTATAATTGTTACAATTCTAAACGTCAGGTGCTGCTCAAATGATGTTGTTAAGTCATCAATGGTCCCAAAATTGTTAGAAAAATATATATCAAGCTATATAACACTCCCTCATGTGCAACCCCATCTTGCACGTGGAGATACAAACAAACATACATAGAGAGAAGCAGAATGCAAACGGAGAACAAATGCAAATGGAAAAACTTGAATCCAAGACCGCTCTAAACTTGGACTTTGATACCATGTTAAGTCACCAATTATCCAAAAAGCTTAAGCTGTTAGGAAATAGCCCAACATTATGTATCAAGCTATTCAACTGTTTTGTTATCTTCTTTTTTTAATGCAGCCATAATTGTTGAATTTCTTTCACACTCTCTCTTTTCTTTTTTTTTCTCTCTTTTCCATAAGATATGGTTGATCAGTTTTCCTTTATTGTCATTAGACAATATAAGATTGTTGGAAACCAATCAAGATTCTCCATCCCCCATCTTCTCTTGTAATCAAATTAATTTAGATTGCTTCCAGCTATTTTTAAGCTCTTCTTAATGCATCTACAAGGTTTCCCATTTGTACAATTATAAGCACATACGTGGCTGTGATTTGTAAATACAACTGTTTCCACTGAAACAATGTGCCTTAATAAAGATGTTTATGACTGTTTCCACTTGAATTATTTGGTTGTCTCACAATCAAACATATGTTGGTGCTAGCAATGGCAATCCCTGCCCCACCTAGGTGAACCTTGCCCCACCCTACCCTGCCCCACTCCCTCTACTTCCAATCAACCCAGAGGGTATAGCCAAATCCTTTCATTTTTAGCAATAGAATGCTTTCCCTTCAACTTTTTCCTTAATTTCAACTTATCCAACACAGTTTAGTCAACAAAACCATCTAATTTTAGTTGGGTTGTTCAGTGTAGCTCAGTTGTCAGACAGGGTCAAGTTTTGTGTTGTTAATCTTCTGTCATTGCAGAGCTCGTGTTCTATTTTTCATAGTTGTAGAATTTTACTTTGGGCTTTAGTAAATGCTAGAAGTGATTGATTTCAACATTAGTTACATTTAAAATAATAATAATAATATTGTTTTTATTTATAATAATAATAATAATAATAAAAACATTGGTTACATTTTTTATTTTAGTTATTTTTTATTTTTTTTATAAAATTGTTTTAATAGAGGCACCAACAGTCGCAAGTCGTATACAAACTAACTATGGCAATTATACACCAAAATGCCATTCGAAGGCCTCTACAAAGTCCAAAAATTGGTTCAAAGATGATTTAATTGTGCCTGAAAACCAACTATACTAAAAAGAAAGTAATCTACTCGTCTACTGTAAAATTGATTCTTATATATTGTCAAAAACGACCGTCTATTCCTCTCGCCTCAAACAATCGACATTAGAGCCAATAGGACCAATTCCCAAGCCTTACTTCTCCTTGTCCCCCACCCTAGCTCCTTCTCAAGAATTAAGTAGTTACTGATATTTGTTTTGGCTGATAATTATTTTTATCTTTTGTGATAATTATCTTTAATTCTGACTTGTATTAAATTGGTTGGCCTTTCTTGATGTTTATATTTCATTTGAAATTCAATTAGCCTTGCATGGCCACGTATGCACATGTGTGCTCATGCGTAGCTGTGTAGATAAGCTACACACACTTTCTCCTTTTCATCTTCACGGCAAATGCCAATGATTTTGTTGACCACATTTTGAGTTGATTAATTCATTTGTTTATCTACTTTTTGTATTTGTGTATGCTGAAAATTGATTAATTTAATTTTCAGGCTGCATTTAGAGCTCTTGTTGGAAAGGGATATCAGACATTGCAGAGTTTGCTGTTGGACTTTTGTCAATGGCAGCCAAGTGAAGGGCTTCTGAATTCTTTGCTTGATATGCTTGTTGATGGAAAGTTTGATATTAAAGTGAGCCCTGTAATAAAGGTAACTTGATTATAAAACCCTTCAAGAAAATTTGTATGATCCACTATTTAGGTTCTCTGCACTTGAAACTCTAGCTTGTTGACGCATTCTATTTCTATTGAATTTGGAGCAGTCTATGACTTATAGAATTATTGTATGCCTGTGATACTACTTCTCATATGATTTTCCCCCCTGATTTGATTCAGAATGAAGATGTGATCTTACTTTATCTGAGTGTTCTCCAAAAGGTTGGTGATTTCTTTGCCTTTTTGTATACTTCTCTTCCATCAGTTTGCTATTTTTCTCCAATTCTGGAGAGTTGAAAAATTAATAGTTTAATGTTATTTTTTATGATAAATAATGAATGTATTAAGTTAACACTTCAAATATTTACTTTGCTTTTTACTAACTGGGCAGAGCAGTGATTCATCCCGGCATTACGGGCTCAATGTGTTTCTTCAGCTGCTCAGAGATTCAATATCCAATCGAACTTCATGTGTCAGAGCTGGAATGCTTAATTTTCTTCTTGATTGGTTTTCTCAAGAAGAAAATGACGGTATAATCTTGAAAGTTGCTCAATTAATTCAACTCACTGGTGGACATAGCATATCTGGGAAGGATATTCGTAAAATATTTGCTCTACTACGAAGTGAGAAAGTTGGGACGCGGCATCAGTACTGCTCATTGTTGCTGACCAGCATGTTATCAATGCTAAATGAGAAAGGACCAACTGCTTTTTTTGATCTCAATGGGAATGATTCTGTAAGTTTAATGCATCCTTCAATGCCACTTAAAAGTAGAGCTACTTACAGCTGAATGCTTGCATTATCTTTCTACTTTCGGCTGAACTGAATGCTTGCACTAATAAATTCTCATCTTGGACAGGAGAAGTGGCATGATTGTTTATATCTTGGTTTTTTATGCTGATTTTATGTCAATTTCTTCTCATAATTAATGTAATTCAAATTTTGCATTGGAACTATTTGAAAAATTCCTACGTTATCCTGCTTTGGTTCGAAAGTTGAAACCCTGTGCACAAATGCATCTACCATCTTGCTAGCTTGACTTACACGCCTGTTTGTTTTATCCTTTTTTCTTTCTATGGTTGCAGGGAATTACAATTAAAACACCAATACAGTGGCCTCTGAATAAGGGATTTTCTTTTTCTTGTTGGCTTAGAATAGAAAATTTTCCTAGAAGTGGGACAATGGGGCTCTTCAGTTTTCTCACAGAAGATGGAAGAGGGTGCTTGGCAGTCCTTGCAAAAGAAAAGCTGATTTATGAGGTAAAAATCTTCTTGGCTGACATGAAAATATTTTTGGTTGTCTGTCTTGTGTTCATTAGTGAATGAAACTTCTTCAATGCATTATCAACTTGCAGAAATTGTTCAGATATTGTCGCATATTGTTGTTAGCTCTTCAGGCACGTAATTTCTTTTTTATTCTGTCTGGATAATACCATGTGTTTAATGATTTTTTTCCCTCCTTTTCCTGCAGTCGATTAATCAGAAACGACAGTGTGCTTCTATGCATGTCAACCTAGTTAGAAGGAAATGGCATTTTATTTGTTTAGCTCATAGCATTGGTAGAGCATTTTCTGGGGGTAGCCTTCTAAAATGTTATGTGGATGGAGTTCTTGTATCATCAGAAAAGTGCAGGTGCTCTCTAACTTCCACAACATCTACTTTTGCATTGTAAACTATTCTGTTTTCTCATTGACATGTAAATATTCCCTGCCCTGACTTTCTTCATCCGATGGTTCAGATATGCAAAAGTTAATGAGTTAATGACTTGTTGCATGATTGGCTCAAAAATAAGTTCGCCCTCATACGAAGATGAGAATGCCATGTACAACATCAAAGATTCATCTCCTTTTCTCGGCCAGATTGGTCCGGTTTATATGTTTAGCGATGCCATTACTTCTGAACAGGTGCAGGCCATCTATTCCATGGGACCAAGCTATATGTATGCATTCCTTGATAATGAAACCACGATCTGTTCGGATAACCCTTTGCCTGGTGGAATTCTTGATGCCAAAGATGGCCTTGCGTCTAAAATTATATTTGGACTTAGTGCACAGGTTCTCTTTCTTTTCTTAGAAATATGTTTCTGGCTTAGCTTGCTTTCTTCTTTGGCCATTAAGAAACTGAACAAAGTTTGTTGCCTTTTCTCAGGCAAGTAGTGGGAGGACTTTGTATAATGTTGCCCCACTGGTGGATCACACATTGGATAAGAATTCATTTGAAGCAACTGTGATGGTTGGGACACAGTTATGTTCACGACGCTTGCTACAACAGATTATTTATTGTGTTGGTGGTGTATCTGTGTTTTTTCCTCTTTTCACTCAGTCTGACTTGTATGAGAATGAAGAAATTGGGCAATCTGGACAAGGATTGCTTACACCTATCACGAAAGAGCGTTTAACTGCTGAAGTTATTGAACTTATAGCTTCTGTCCTAGATGAGAATTTAGCCAATCAACAACAGATGCTTCTTCTTTCTGGATTTTCAATACTTGGCTTTTTATTGCAATCGGTTCCACCACAGCAACTGAATATGGAAACACTTTCAGCTTTGAAACATATGTTTAATGTTGTTGCAAATTGTGGTATGATTCATGAAACACAAATTTTCTTAATTTCCCCCCCCCCCCTGAATGCGTGCGCTTTATTAGCTTGGCTGAATTCACGTTTTGTATTAGCACTTCTTAAAGATGTATTCTTATGTAATACATATAATGATGTTCTTTTGTTTTTGTTCAGGTTTGTCTGAGCTGCTTGTGAAAGATGCCATATCTAATATATTTCTCAATCCTCTTGTCTGGGTCTACACAGTTTACAAGGTGCAACGTGAACTGTACATGTTTCTCATTCAGCAATTTGATAACGATCCTAGGCTTCTTAAGAGTCTGTGTCGGCTCCCTCGTGTTCTTGATATAATACGCCAATATTATTGGGATAGTGCTAAATGCCGATATGCTATAGGAGGCAAGCCTCTTTTGCATCCTATAACAAAACAAGTACTTGGAGAGAGACCTAATCAAGAAGAAATACGGAAAATTCGCCTTCTTCTATTGAGTCTTGGGGAGATGAGTCTTAGGTACAAATTCCTTTACTGGACCTTCTACTTGTGTCCTAAATATGTATTCTCCTTCTTTTCTGTCCACTTCTTTATTGCTATTTATTCTAATATAGCAGGTTGTATTCATGCACCCTTTTTCAAATCTGTATTCTAACATTTAGTAAAATGCAGGCAGAACATTGCAGTGTCAGATATACAGTCCCTGATTGCTTTTTTTGAAACAAGTCAGGATATGGCATGCATTGAAGACGTTTTGCATATGGTTATTCGTGCTGTTTCTCAGAAACCGCTGCTTGCTTCCTTCCTGGAACAAGTCAATTCACTTGGTGGCTGCCACATATTTGTGAATCTTCTTCAGAGGTATGTCTTTTGCATTAAGTTTCAAAGTAGTTGCATGTTGATCTTTTTGCACAGAACTGTTTCTGCTTTTGTGTTGATTGATGACCATTTTCCCAACATTTATGATGTTGTTTCCGACTCTGTCTCATCACATTTTGATGCCTTTTAATTAGATACCTTTTTACATTATGATGCCACAAAGATGCACATTGGACTGTTGATGCCAGCGTGATGTTGTTTGCGCATACGGTTGTTATCGATCGAAGTAGTAGGGACTGGTGCTGGCTTTAATTACCATTGGTTGCTGATAGTCAGGTTGGAAAAAGGCTTTTGAGATGGCACAAGAATTTTACACTGAAGAATGAAACTGAGATGCTTATCGTGGTTGTTGAGGGATATTCAAACATTCAGGGTTGACTCCTTGGGATATTTTCTTTTAGAACCATATATATATATATATATATATATTTTGATAAATAATCGAACTTTATTAAAAAAACATCAAGGTGATGCAAAGAATACAAGAAAAACACCAACCCACACCAGCCCGCAAAAGCTAACTAATCAAATCCTCCACAAACTGTACAAAAGTAAAAACATCAAGATCTACCACACCAGTAACCCAACTATGCACCACCAGAAGAAGAATATTTTCCAGCCAAAGAGCAGAATGACTTAAATTCTGAAAAATACGTTGATTACGCTCCAACCACACCAACCATAATAAACAATGGGCAGCAAGTAACCAAGCCTTCCGACGCTTCTTACCCACCGTCGCCTCACCCTAGCTGAACAACACGGCCCGCAAAGACCCCAGCTGCACCCAAAGCACACCAAAAAGAGCAACAGTCAAACGCCAAAGCCGATATACAACCGGACAATGAATCAACAAATGATCCACCATTTCTGCATCCCTACAACACATACAACACCAATTTACAAGCACATGGCGCCGCTGAATCAAATTATCAATAGTAAGGATACGTCCTAAAGCAGCCATCTAAACGAAAAACATCACCTTGGAAGGAGAACCCGTCACCCAAATAGTCTGCCAAGGAAGCACAACTGTATCGCCCCCCACAAGCATCCCATAAAATGATGACATAGTGAATACAAGACTTCCGAACCTCCCATACCAAAAAATCCACCCCCTTCCCTCCATGCCGCAGCCCATACAAGAAACCCAGCAGATCCAGTAATTGGTCCAACTCCCAATCCTGCACCTCACGACAAAGATGAACATTCCACACAGCTGAATTTCCTTGCCTCACCCTAACCAATGCAACCAACTCCTCCCGAACCGCCGCAATTGCATAAATCAAAGGAAATGTGCCTGCCAAAGACATATCACCACACCACCAGTCCTGCCAAAACCGAACCTGATCTCCCACCCCCACTTTGAACCGAACCCTATCCTAAAAATCCCTTCTCCCCAACCAAATACCCTTCTATAAACCATCCCCATGAGATTGGACCACCTTCTTCGAACACCAACCCCCCTCTTCTTCCCATATTTAGTCACCACCACCCTCCTGCATAACTGTTCCCTTTCCTCTACGAACCGCCATAACCACTTCCCTAAAAGAGCCCGATTGAACACTTCCAACCTCTTCACCCCCAAACCCCCTCGCCTTAGGAGTACACACTCTCTCCCAATCCACCAAATGGTAATGGAAAACCTCTCCACCCCCATTCCACAAAAAATCCCGTTAAAACTTCTTTAGTTGCCTTGCCACCGCCACAAGCATGACATGCAAAGACATAAAATACGTTGGGATACTAGCAATAACACTCTTGATTAAAGTAAGTCGCCCCCTTTTGGACAAATATTGCCGCTTCTATCCCACCAACTGTCGTTGCACTCTATCCACCATCACATCCCACACTTTTGTTTCCTTAAAAGTAGGCCCCAAAGGAAGACCCAAATAAGACACTGGTAGCATAGCCACCTCACAACCCAAAACAGCTGCCAACACCAGAAGACGTGCCACCTCTCCCACTGGGATCAGTTCCGATTTAGCCAAATTTATCCGAAGGCTAGACATCGCCTCAAAGCATGACAACACACACCGCAAATGACCAATTTGAATAGCATACGCATCACAAAAAATTAGCGCATCATCAGCATAGAAGAGAAGAGAAACCGCTAGAGAATCAGGCCCCTCCCCCACCTCAAAACTCGACAACAAACCTCCTTGAACTGCCTTGGACAACGAACGGCTCAGCCTCTATAACCAGCATGAATAATAAAGAGGACAAAGGATCGCCCTGCCAGTTGAGTTTTGTTCTTTGTAATGGTGGAGTCTTTAATATCAACTAGATAATGGAGTGCTTACTTAGCTGAGGAAGTAAATATGGCGGCACGGAGCTGTCTCCTGGTGATGTTGCTTGGGTGTTTGATAGAAGGTGCCCAGACTAGACCAATCTAGCTGCATGCTGGAATAGTCTCCAAGGGCCAGGCTTGACCAGTTTAATGGTGCATTTCAATTTATGCATAGGAAAGGGCTTCCTTGGAGTATTTGTTGTTTGTGCACCAGAGGTAGTTGCACCATTGTTTTAATATGCATATGTTAATCTTAATTCTCTAACTGGTCAAGTTGGTATTAGTCATTTGAAGGCTTCCCTTACCAAGTATTTCCAAATAAGAAACCTTTTCTGCTTAGTGTTGGGAATTTGGAAGCTTAGAATAGAAGAGTTTGCTTCTCACTGACGGAGACTAATTTAGTAGAATAGGCTCAAATCATATTCCCCACTCCCAACCCCCCAAAATTTAGGAACCATAGGATCACCTTGTCAAGCTTTAAACAGGAGGTTAATTTCCTGCTGGCAAGCACTATCATATATGTCCCCTAAAACGCATATATGCATCTGACATATGTCAGACACTCTTGTCCCATTGTTTTTAAGTTTTTCTGCTCCGATCACACTTGTCCAATTCCTTGACTATGGAGGCATGGCAAAGAAGCACAACATGTTGTACCTTTAGCCAAAAGTACCATGCCCCTATGTTTATCCTCAATCGAAGATTAGTTGCAAGGATAAATTATTCTGTCTGCACGAACCGCCCTGCTTCCTTTCTTTTATATTCTTTGCTCAACTGACAACTACTGTATCTTCAACCGAAAGTACCATACCTATTTTGTCCTTTGCCAATGATCAGTTGTGAGAAGGAAAAATTTTGCCATTAGCACAAATGGCCCTATTTCCTTTCTCATATATACTTTGTTCTTCTTCCTTTTTTGTATATTGGGTGATCCAATTTTTTCAAGGTAGCAGCTTTTCATCCCTTCAAATATGGATATTTTCATGGGCCCAATTTGAGCATGTTTTGGTTGCTCTTTGTAATTTGGAATGTCTAGGTCCAATTATTTTCATGGTTTGTTTGTGTGTTTGGACATGATTAGCAGGCTGTAGTATCAAGGTTATTCATCTTCATTTCATGGTGAGCTAGATGCATGGAGAAAAATTAAAAACAATACAAAAACATGACCTGAAGAAAAGGAAGGAAAGCATGAAATTCACCAAGTCTACTTTACACGATGTGGGACTTGGATGTGTCAAGCATATAAATAGGTGTTCTTCCTTTCTATTGTAATAGATTGCAATAGAATGGATTGGATGTAGTCTTTTCTCTCTGACTTTCTAGAAGCAAAAGGTTGTCTTTCTTGTTATTTTTCAAAACTTCTCAATGCATGTATAATAAATAAAAATATAAAATTATATATTACTACATCGTCCCCGCACCATTTCAAGTCCTACATTTTTTTTTAATTTTAAACTCCTTGTTGATGTGGTCGAGTTGTGTAGTATATGGCAACTTTCGGTTTGGTTTGGGTGCAACCAGGCTCCATGTTGGGTGTGTTGTAGAGCTGAGGTGGGGAAAGGGTTGGGAGGAGGCGTCGGAAGGTTTGGTTACTTGCTTCTCATTGTTTGCTTTAGTTGGTGTTAAGTTATGTGCTTGAGGGTAATAGTGTCATTGTACTTATTCCCTTATTATTATAAATACATATGTTTAGAGAGGTAACAAACCGAATTAGGTTTTGCATCTTCTCTTCCAGTAAATCTCTTGTTCTCTCTCTCTCTCTCTCTCACTCAATTCTTGTGTTTCATTTTTAACTTGGTATTAGAGTAAAAAAAATAATTATATTCTTTTTGTTTTTTATTTTCTATTCTTCCCGATAATGTAAAATAAAAAATAAAAAAATTACCACCATGAATGACTAGGGTGGTGGGTCACTAGAAAATGTTTCAAATTTTATTTTGTTTTTGGTTGCCCATTTTTTTGATTTTTCTTTATTTTTTGGAAAAATAGGTCCAATTTGTTGATTTCTTCATTTTGTCTGTTTTTTGATTGATTCATCACTTGGGTCCACACCTATGGGAGCCGACCAGATGCCCTAGGCTGTTCTTTGGCTTCGGTTGATGCTTTCGGTTTGGTCACGTTCCTTTCAATTGGTCATTACTGCTCGTGTCATGTCTGGTTACATCAAGGGAGCTACTAAGGCTTCCAAGGAGGATGGACCAGCCTGAGATAAATGGCAAACGGAGAATGCTCTTGTCATGACTTGGCTTATTAACTCTATCCACTTCAGTAATAATCACTCATTTGTTTTAATGGATACAACTCATAAGATTTGGACTGTTGCTGCTCAAATGTATTCCCAGCGTGGTAATGATGCCTAGGCCTATGAGTTGCGGAAGAAAATACAGGGGTTTGATCAGAAGGTAGGTCCCTATTATCAGAACTTCCAAGCTGTTTATTCTCAAGATGTTACCACCTTTTAGCCGATGGTGTCCAAGGAGAGGGTCTATGATTTTCTTGCTGGTCTTAACATTAAGTATGATCAGATTTGTGTTCAGATTCTTGGCCGAGATCCTTTTCCCACGTGTGCGAAGCATATGCTTATGTTCGGCAGGAAGAAAGCAAGCATAGTGCTATGTTTCATCAGCCTCTCTAAGATCGCTCTGCTCTCGTTGTTGCTTTTACTCCAAAGGATGGCCATGTCTCCAAGTTTGGGAGCAAAGGTAGCAAAGGTACTAGTGTTGATCGTGGTTAGATTACCTGTGATTACTGTGGAAAAGACCAGCATGATAGGGAGCATTGTTGGAAGTTAATGGTTGTCCTCCTTGAGGCTGAGATGGAGTCCGTAGCGGTTACTAGTGGACGTGGTGGCGTTATTTGTTCCCATGCCAATCTCTCTTGAGTCTTCTGCCCGCACCCTGAGTGGTTCTGCTACACTTTCCCATGATAAGTTACACTCTCGCCGACGTCTGATGGCTCGGAATTGAGGAGGTAGGCATGTTGAGATGTAGGCCTGCTGATTCTCCTATTGAGGCTAATCACAGGCTTAGTAGTAGTGACGGAGAACATGTGGACAAGGGGAGGTATCAAAGGCTTGTGAGAAGACTGATATATCTTTCTCATACAAGGCCAGATGTTGCATATGCCGTTGTTGTTGTTAGCCAATACATACATGATCCTCGCACGGGGCATTTGGATGCAGTTCATCGGATCTTAAGGTATCTCAAATCAGTGCCTGGAAAAGGCATCTTGTTCTCTAATCATGATCATTTAAGGTTACAGGCTTTCACCGATGCAGATGGTGCTATTGATGATAGGAGGTCTACCAAGGGCTATTGTACATTTGTAAGAGGAAATTTGGTGACTTGGCGGAGTAAGTAGTCAGTTGTTGCTAGATCGAGTGCAAAAGCGGAGTATCGAGCCATAGCGCATGACATTTGTGAGTTGATATGGCTGAAAGTTTTATTGGCTGGCCTAGGATTGTTGAGTGGTGGTCCCATGTGACTATATTGTGATAATAAGGCCGCTATTAACATTGCTCATAATTCAGTTCAGCATGATAGAACTAAGCACATTGAGATTGATCGACATTTTATCAAGGAGAAAGTGAATAGTGGCATCATTTGTTTGTCTTTTATCATATCTGAAGATAAGTTAGGTGATGTGTTTACTAAAAGGTTAGGGAGTAAAGTGTTTCATCCTATTGTATGCAAGTTAAGCATGAGGGATATCTACACCAACTTGAGGAGGGAGGTGTTAAGTTATGTACTGGAGGGTAATAGTGTCATTGTACTTATTCCCTTATTATTATAAATACATGTGTTTAGAGAAGTAAGAAACTGAATTAGGTTTTGTGCCTTCTCTTCCAATGAATCTCTTGTTCTTTTCTCTCTCTCTCTCTCTCTTTCTCTCTCTCTCTCTCTCTATATATATATATATATCTCAACTCTCGTGTTTCATTTTTAAGGGTTGGCTTGGTTGGAGCGCAATAGGTGTGTTTTTCAGAGTGTGTCTCATTCAATTCCTTGGTTAAAAATCCGACTTCTTATGGTGTTGCACAGTTTGGGTTACGGGTTCGGTTGATCCATATATTTTTTGTGGAGAATTTGATTAGTTAGCTTTGTTGGGCCCTTGGGGGTTTCTATTCTTTGTATTCTTTGCATCGTCTTGATGCTTTTCTAATAAAGTTTGATTATTTGTCAAAATATATATATACCTTAATTTTTCATTCTAATCTAGGAATTTTATCCGGTTAGTGTCCTTGAGATAACTTGGCATAATATCTCACAATTTATAAGGAAATATTGAGACTATGAAATATATTTGACATTTCTATTACATAATAGCAGACATCTGTCAATGCTACATAATAGAAATCAAGATGATATTTATATATTATACCTTTAACTGTCTGAAGGCGGTATAAAACATGTAAAGCCTATACTTATTTAACTTAAAACACATATAGTTAAATAATACGAGTGTGACTTTAATTCATGTGTGAGTAGTTCTCAAGTAGTTGGGATTAATTGCTTGAATGTTAGGTAACTTGTGTTGTTCTAGGGGGGTGTTTAGCAACTTAAGTTTAGGTTATTTTTTGGTTAAAATCCACAAATAGACAAAATATGTTAAAATAGTTAATAAGACAAAATGTCTCATCAGACCCATAATCATTTCACTTTTTTCCAAAACATCACATCCAACTACAAAAAAGTTCAATCATCTTCTCAAACATAAAAATTTTAGCCTACTAAAATAGTCAAAAACTAAAATAGCCTACTAAAATAGCAACTTCCCAAACATCCACTAAATATACTACCTTATAAAGAAAAAAAATTTCCTTAAAAAAATTGTGTTATTTTTACATCATGTACTAGAGTTTAGCGTAAATTCATTCTAGTAGCTGATATAGAAGCGGCGAAGACCTAAGAGTTTGAGCACAGATGAGGGAACAACAACTTGGAGGGAGAGAGAAAATGATAGTCGTGGACTTAAGGTTGTGCTCTCCAGTCCAGCCTGGACAATTTCGTTGAGGGCCTTGGATCTTATATTGGCACCCCAGGATTTGAGAGCAAGTTTGGTTGCAGGTCTTTGCTGATGACATTACAATGTGGGTTGACATTACATATGGCTTGCAATCATTGGGAATGCAAGCTGGGCTGCTACACTTGCATTGACAATTATGTTGTTAATAGAGAGCGCATACTAGATGTCAAACATATCCTGAGGATGACATTATGTCTTCCTCTTCACATCCAATAAGACAAATGTTGTTTCCTCCTGGCAGTTAAAGAGTAGGGACAGATGGAAAAACTTGGCTGGTTCCTAATTTTAGCTGCAGATGCAAAAACTTCTGAGAATACCTTGGTTGGCAGCTTGATGCCTTGTGTATGTTTTTTTATTATCTATTATTTTTATTATGCAACAATAGAAAAAGAAAAAATAAGGGAGTATAATTAATAAAAAGGAAGATTACAAGGGATTGGATGACAAGTGGTCCTCTAAAGAAGAAAAAAAAATGGAAGTAACACCACCTCAAGCTATGCATCATACACTGCCTTCCAATCTGTCAAAATCAAGAAAAGAGGGGCCTGCTAACAAAAATTCTGCCAACATGAATAATCTATTCCACAAAGTCAAAGCCAAAGAGCAATGCAAGAACAAATGATTCAAAGATTCTTCCCCCCTCCTGTGCACAATTGAGGATGGAGAATGCGATTAGGTCTCCTCGTTTGTGAAGGGTTTGCTATGAGTAAGCTGCTAAACAACTGCTCACAGATGCATCTTTTTATACATAGTATTTGTGTATTCCCTGAGATTACCTATAGTTCTACTAGTTTCTCTACATAATTTTGTTTAAATATTTTATTTTAAACTTCCAATGAAGGCAATTATATTATTGCTAGTATGAGATTACCCAAGTTAAAGAGTTTTGATAGATATGCCTTATTTGTATAATTGTAAAAATTTGAAAAAAAAATTGCAGTGTGACATGTTTTTGATCTCGAATATATATTGGATGCCACTTTTTTTTTCGTTTTTTTTTTTGGGTGGCAAAATTCTGTTCTTGCAATTATCTGTTAGGGATTGCCCCCTGCCCTTGAGCTAAGTTGTTGTTACATTATTGAGAGAAACTTTCCATATGTATTGACATGTACTTATTACCTTAAAGTGCTCGCTGCTATGTTTCTCTTATTTATTTACTTTTTCTTTATTTTCTCAAAGTATGGTGCTGTTGTTGTACTTTCCAAAAACATGATTTTAGGGTAAACCATGCAAAATATACAATGATTCTAATGTTGTCTCTTCCAACTTGTTTATTCTAGGAGTTCTGAGCCCATCAGATTGCTCAGTTTGCAGTTCCTGGGGAGACTTTTGGTTGGTCTTCCGTCTGAGAGAAAGGGTTCAAAATTTTTTAATATTTCAGTTGGAAAAGCAAAATCCATCTCAGAGTGCCATAGAAAGATCAGCTCAAGGATACAACCAATTTTCTCTGCCATATCGGATAGGCTGTTTAGATTTCCACAGACAGATCTTCTGTGTGCTAGTTTGTTTGATGTTCTCCTTGGTGGTGCTAGCCCAAAACAGGTGATATTATATGATATTTCGAGTCTTGCTTCCCTTGTTCACGTAATAGTTTGAAGTCGTCTTGGGTTTGCTACTTTTCTATTACTTAACTATTTATTTATTTATTTAAATTTTGAGTTTATTTTTAAATGGTTATCTTTTAATTGTTGATTACAGGTTTTGCAGAAACATACCCTGCTTGACAAGCAGAAAAGCAAAGGAAGCCACTCTCAGTTTTTTCTTCCTCAGATCTTGGTTCTAATTTTCAGATTCTTGTCAAAATGTGAGGATGTATCTGCAAGAATAAAAATAATTGGAGATTTACTTGAACTTCTCGATTCAAATCCTTCAAACATTGAAGCCCTAATGGTACAAATTTATTAGATTGTTGTTTCATTTTTGTTAATGTAAATTGTGTAAATGTAAATTACCACTACCACTCACTCCACCTACCACCTCCACTACCACCCACTCCACCTACCACCTCCACTACCACCTACACCTACTCCTCACCTACTCCCAAATCCTCTCCTATATAATAGGAATCCTTGTAATATATATCAATATATCAATACAATCAATCAATAATACATCAATTTTAACATGGTATCAAAGCAGGTTTAGAACCTAATATTTTCGCTTCCCCGGCGGGCGACAATCTCACCTTAGCCGCCCGCCGGACCTCAACCTAGTCCGCTAGAATTTTCTACACATACCTTCTCTCCCGCTGTTTTGATTCGGAGTTAGCAGAAGCGTCACATATTGATCCACACACTGCCATACACACAGACACCACAACACACACATGGGCTGAGAAGGAAGCTGTCACTCTCTCAGTTTCCAGATGAACCATCATCCAAGCTAAAGCATGATGAGCGTGGTCTTTTATCAATGGCAGCAGCATTCTCTTTGTTCCTGGGGGACCCGCTTCCAATAACCTCTACCACAATCGGCACTGCCTCTGCAGCTTCGATGGCTACTTTTCCATCAGGGTGGCTCGACAGTATTGCTAGTATGGCTAGCGCTTCATCAACCATTCCACCTTGTGGTTCTGTAAGTAGCTGCATCAACGTGGGCACAACTCCGGCCCTCACCGCCCTTCCTTTGTTCCCTTGGTATATGCACCAGTTGAACAGTGCCGCTATTGTCCAAATTGACAAATGATCTTTGCTCGCTGATAAATGGCCGGGTCTCTTCTTCTTGCCTCCGTCCTGGGCGGCCCTTGACGGTGTTGCCTCCGTATTTCCCACTCCACTGGGCACGATCACTCCACCCTGCTCCTCCACTACAGCATATGGTGGCCCTCCAAATCGGAACATCACGGTGGCCTTCCGCTTCAGCTCCTTGTTTTCCGCTTTTAGCACACATATCTCTGCTCGCGCATCCTTATACATGCGTTGGAGCAGCGCCAGTTGGGAGTTTAACTGCTGCACCTCATTTGTCCTGCTCTGCAGCCGGTGCGACAGGTTTGTGACCGCCGTCATGGTTTCCACACATGACTTCAAAGTATACTGATTGGCCTCCACATCCGACTGCACTGCCATTTTTTGCTCCACAGACCGCATCGGAAAGTTCAACGGAGCAAAACCGGACGCGCTTGGTTGAGTTTCACTGGCCACCGCACCCGTTATCTCTCTTGTTGACTCGTTGAGGTCGGGAAAGAGAGTCAGCAGATCACGGGACGACGAAGCCATTTTCTGGGCAACAGAGTGTTACAGCGTATTACAGAGTTTCTCTCTCAGCAAAGGAAGAGTTTTTTCAGAGGTTCTCTCAGTTTTTTTTGTCTCAGCTTCTGCCTCAGACTCAGGCTCCGTCTTGGTTAAATAGCCGAGGCAGCCACGCGTATCGCGCGCCACTTGACGCCAGACGACAAACGGGAGCGCCAGCCAAGGCACTCACGTGCCTCGCCATCATATCTGGCACGCCTTTTTATGGATTGGGCACGTCTTTTGATGGCACGCCTTTTGACAGATTGGGCACACCTTTTGAGGGCACGACTTTTGAGGGCTCGATATCTCTATCCATGTATATCTTTTGGGCAGCCTATCTACACACTCATACAGTGTCTTCTACACTGGTCAGCTTTATCAATCCCTTTGTTTCAACCTCAAATAGGTTTCTATCTTCACACCTATTTGAGTTTGAGGGGGGGGGTTATACACAGTATCATGTATAAGTCGCTCATGGCGCACTCACTAAGTCGCCCCCTTGGTGCACCACCACAAGTTGCTACAACGGTCCGACATGACCCCATAAACTGTCCCGACATTGATTCCGGTCAGCTGCTACATCGGTCCGACATGACCTCGTAAACTGTCTTCTACAACGGTCCGACATGACCCCGTAAACTGTCTGCTACAACGGTCCGACATGACCCCATAAACTGTCTGCTACATCGGTCTGACACGACCATACCGTGTCTCCTATCCTGTTTTATTTATCAGTTTATTTTTCTGTTTTGTGACTCTCTCCAAACTCAAGTTGGCTAGTGCCTATCCTCCTTGAGTTTGAGGGGGACTGTTAATGTAAATTGTGTAAATGTAAATTACCACTACCACTCACTCCACCTACCACCCACTCCACCTACCACCTCCACTACCACCTACACCTACTCCTCACCTACTCCCAAATCCTCTCCTATATAATAGGAATCCTTGTAATATATATCAATATATCAATACAATCAATCAATAATACATCAATTTTAACAATTTTCTACTCTAAACAAACTAGTCTTATATTAATTAAATATTTTATACAGGAAAATGGATGGAATGCCTGGTTAATGGCTTCTACTAGGCTTCATGCATTGAAAAACTACAAAGTGGAGTCACAAGTGCACAGTGATACTGAGATAAATGAGCTAAGTTTTGTGAGGAATTTGTTTTGTGTTGTTCTTTGTTACTATATGCATTATGTGAAAGGTGGTTGGCAGCACCTAGAGGAGACAGTGAATTTTCTACTTTTGCAATGTGAACAGGTGTGTTTTTATCCTCCTTGCAGCATAAATAACTGTGATAGTTCAACATAAAAGTGAGAACAATTATGCTTCAGCAAGTTTTTATTTATTTTTGTGTGCGTCTGCAGGGTGGCATCTCATATCAATACCTGCTTCGTGATATATATGAGGATTTAATTCGGAGGCTTATAGATTTATCTTCTGAGGACAATATTTTTGTCTCACAACCATGTCGAGACAATACATTATATCTTCTCAGACTAGTTGATGAGACACTCATCTCCGAAATTAATCAGAAACTTCCGGTATTCAACTTACCTGAGTATTTGACTAGCCCTTCATTTTCTCTCTTTTTGCTTCAGTTTTGTTGAGAGCTTCATTGATGTGATTTAGTTACTAGACAAAACACCCCATGTCTTCTATAACTATGTTTTGCTCGTTGTCCCCTCCCCTCAAATACTTTAATTTGTAGTTAAAACTATTTGAAAAAATTAATTAAACAACATGCATGGACAGTAGTGGACCTGCTACTTGTATTGAAATGAATAACTAGAGCTCTTGCAAAAGTAGTATGTCTCATTGAGAATCCCCATGTAGGCACTTTCCTGAGAGAAAAAAACCAACTTAAAAAATAAAATTACCACGATTGTCAAGAGTTGTCCCCTACATGTGTACGTAACTGGTATAATTTACCCCATCGTTTAATGTTGAAAATGTTTACATTTTCATTATCTATGTTTTTATATTGTATTTTAACGTGTTGCTTCCACTCATGAAGAGGTATGAAACTTTTTATTGCTCTGATAATAAAGTAGTTGCTTTTAGGTGCGTATGATGCATCATTATATCCATTTCTGCTAGTATGAAATAGCTTGTATTTTTCCTTGTGTATGCCGAATGCCCTTTTGACAGCCATACTGAAGAAAAAGGTCACTTTCTTTTTTTTGGGTGCATGGAAAGTTTCCTACAAGTAGCTCAGATCTTTCTCCAGATTTCCTGGAATTAGAAAGTCACAAGGATCTCAGCTCTGCCTTATCCGAGGTCTTACAAGGAGAATCTGATAATGACATATCCAGGTATTACCAACTTGGACTTGATGCTTTAAATCTGAATACTCTGGTTGATACTTTTTTTTTATATTTCAAATCATATATAATGCATGTTATTTGTCTTGGTTTATTGCAGTAATGACAAAACAATTTATCTTTCTCATAAGATATGTCACTAGTCCGACTGATCGGTCATTTTTCAATCAAAAATAGAGAACTAAACAAAGCACCAATTCAATAGAATAAGTGGATTGTCGAGGTGTCTTACCACGAGCACTTTGGGCTAAGTTGTATCAATTCGAGTGCTAATTTCAAATTTAATTTGAAGAAGAGAGGATGATTTGGTTTTTACAAATGAGAATTTAAATTAAAACTAAAATAATTGCGCAAATAAAGAGAATAATCTGAATATGGAGAGAGACTTGGGATTTCGAATCCACTACTAATCTCATATCATGTAATTAAAATATTCGATTCTAGTAAATCAATGTCCCAGATAATAATGATGTATTGTGGCTACAAGCCCCAATATCATTGTCAAGAAGATGAGTATATTCAAAATGTAGGCATGAATCATTTTCTGTCGGCACGATTTGTCTACACTAAACTAAGGTTGCAACACGATTCGTCTCCCCTAAGCATAACTTAGTCTCACGATTTGTATATACAAGAAAGTAAAACAATTGTATGATCATGTATTCTCAATCACAGAAATCGAATACATAAATTGAATGAACAAATTGTTTGAATAAAAGATTTAAAACGATCCTACCATGATTATCCAAATCCAAAGAAAAACTAGAATTTAAATACAAAATTACAAGTTACTTGATTAGGGTTTCGTCTCAATCCCGAATAAGAAGAGTAGCCGCTCATGGTTGAGGTAGAAAACCTCTTCTCCTTGCCTCCGTTACTTTTTCTCTGGAATCCTCAATAATCCTAATGATCAATAGGCTTCTCTATTTTTAGACATAGGACACATCTAAATAATACCCAAGAGGCTAGAATTCTCCAAAATAAAAAGAAATTTGGATAGAATTATTTCCAGATTTTTTGACTCATCTTGCGGGCCCATTTTGACCTAGTAAATGTCAGAATTGGAGAATTCTTATTTCACATAAAAGTGTAGCCCTTTAAGTTAGCTTTCCAATGCTTCTTGATTCACCTTAATCCGATATCAGATGAGAGAGATATGTTCAAAATACCGAATGCTGTGCAGAGTGACTTCTATGGTGGGATGGCAACAATTTTAACTTTTCTTTCTTCAAATCTCATATCTCATGGGTTGAGCTTTTATTGCTTGATTCATCTTCCAAGCCTTTAAACTTGGGTTGAGTCCTGTCTCTCGGGCTTTAAATACTTCAAAATTTTGATCAATTTCATCTCACAAGCCCGAATGACCTACACATATACAAACTCATTAAAATTGTCAAGTAACAATAATTCAAGGACTAGCCATTGTACTTTAAGGGGCTTAAATGTGTACATTTTGGCACCTATCACCGACCTTTGTTAAGCCCTGACCTGGAATCTCGAGGAGCAGAAGTCTAGTCAGAGCCGAACTTTCATGAGATGGTGAATAATCTCCCGCCTAGTTTCCTCATGTTGAACATAAGCATAGATCTTCTGTAGAGATGATAGGTGTTCCTTGCTGAAGATTTGAACCCTAATTTAACCATATTTCAGATTTAACCCAGAAAGAAACTCAATAATCTTTTCTTGTTCAATTAGCTTCTTCAATTTCAAAGTATCGGCAGGGCTGTCCACATTAAGTGTCTGGTTCTGATCCAATTCTTGCCGCAAATAACAAAGTGTATAGAAGTAAATTGCAATTGAGGAATCCCTCTGCCTTGTGTTGTGAATTCAGAGTTTCAAATCATAAATGTGTGCCATATTGCCCTTCTATGAATAGGTCTGTGTAACTACATCCCAAATCTCCTTAGCAGTATCCATAAACAAGTACCCATTGCTGATATCTTGTTGCGTAGAGTTAAGAAGCCATGACATGACCATAGAGTTCTCTGTGTCCCACAAGTTTCCCATCATCCTTTTGCTATTAACAAACAATGTAAGACCAAGTAATTCTGTCCATCAAGTTTAATTTTGGTAACCTATAGGGTAGGGCTTTCATTCCTAGAAGATAACCTAATGTTGGTTTTCATTCCTATTAATTAAGTATTGTCTAACAAGAATGGATTTGGTACATGCAAGGCTACAATCCTGTTTTTGTAAGAGTTGCAATTTCTCATCTAGTAACTTATTTGGTTCATCTCTTTAATATAAGATTCTTCTATGTGCTTTTTCTGTTCATTCCTAATATATCATCATTTTTATACATATTTATGGTTTGATTTTTGCAATTGTAGGAATCCATGTGTATGTAAAGAGCCTATCACAAATAAAGACGAGATGGTTGATGAGGAGTGGTGGAATTTATATGACAATCTGTGGATCATTCTCTGTCAGATGAATGGGAAGGCACAAAGCAAGGTGTTACCTAAATCTTCGTCTGCCGTGGGCCCAACTTTTGGCCAAAGAGCACGTGGATTAGTAGAATCGCTGAGATAATCGTGGATTAGAGAGATGTGAAACTCCCCCAGGAACTTCTTTGGGAAGTGAGGCTGTTGACACGAAAGACTCGTCTTTTGGATGGTGGTTTATAATGCATCAAGTAAGAGTTTGGTTCGTACCCAGACATTGTGGTGAAGAGTGCAATTATTGCAGGTTGATGACCAGCTCCCATTTTAAAGCAATGGTTATCTTCCAGCACTATGGAGTTGACATGGTCGCAAGAGGAAAAACTACTGCTGCTGCCCAAAAAAGAAGAAAGTTTGAGGCCAAGAATGCATTGGAAAACTATGGCTACAACCATGAGGAACACCATTAAGGATGAGAAGATCAGTTCAAGCTTGCGCCCAGATGACCAAGAAGAGATTGAAAAGCTGCCATCTGAGCAGGCAATTCAGTGGTGGATGCGAACAGCTTGCTGCAGTCGGACGAGTTTTGAGGACCAAGATGGAAGGAGCTGGAAGGCATCTGCAACCCCATTCATGCCAAGATGTTACCAGGTGCCGGTTGGTGCTGCTATGGCATGAGATGATGCTCCTCCTGTGGAGGTAGGTGCTGGTCCCAATTGAGGGAAGTTGTACTAAGCCTCTTCAGTTTGCGTGATGGCAGGATGTGTAGAAAAATAAGCGGAATAGGTTGAAAGTCGGCGTGCTCTTCCTTCTTGCCTCCCGTCCCCTGGGCGGCCCCTTCGCCGGTGCTTGCCTCCGTGTTTCCCACTCCACTGGGCACGAATCACTACCCTGCCTCCTCCACTACCAGGGACATATGGTGGACCTCCAAATCGGAACATCACGGTTGGCCTTCGCTTCAGCTCCTGTTTTCTGCCCTTTACAACAAAAAACTTTATTTTTCCCCTTCTTTTGGCCCTTTTCGGGCCGCATCCCTTATACATGCGTTGGGAGCCCAGAAAGCCAGCTGGGGAGTTTAACTGTTGCACCTCATTTTGTTCTGCTCTGCCAGCCGGTTGCGACCCAAGTTTTGTGACCACAGTCATGGTTTCCACACCATGACCTTCAGAGTGTATACTGATTTGGCCTCAATATCAGTTTGCACCGCCATTTTTTTGCCTCCACCGACCGCATCCGGAAAAGTTCCAACGGAAAGCAACACAGAGGTGTTTTGGTGAGGATTCACTGGCCACCGCACCAGTTTCTCTCTCTTTTGTTGACTCATTGAGGTCGGGGGAAAGAGAGTCGAGCAGCCCACGGAAGACGAAGCCATTTTCTGGGGGCAACAGAGTGTTTACAGCGTATTACAGATGTTTCTTTCTCAGCCAAACGAAAGAATTTTTCAGAGTTTCTCTCAGTTTTTTCTATGTCTCAGCTTCTGCCTCAGGCCTCAGCCTCCGTCTTGGTAAATTTAGCCGAGGCAGCCACGCGTTATTGCGCGCCACTTGACGCAGACGACAAACGCGCCGCCAGCCAAGGCACTCACGTTACCTCGCCATCATATCTGGGCACGCCTCTTTTTTATGGATATGGGCACGCCTTCTTTATGGCACGGCCTTTTTGATAGATTGGGACCACCACCTTTTGAGGGTGCGACTTTTTAGGGGTCCGACAAGACCCTCTGAAACTGTCCCGACATTGATTCCGGTTAGTCCTTCAAGGGTCCGACAAGACTCTGTAAACTGCCCGACATTGATTCGGTTAGTTTCTACAAGGGTCCAGCAAGACTCCGTAAACTGTCACAACAACTATCACAACATTGTCTGCTACAACGGAATTCCAACTATGACCCCATTAAACTGTCTTCTACATCGGTCTGACACAACCATTCCATGTCCTCCACAACGTTTATGGACACCACATACAGTTGTCTTTCACCATCGGTCTGACACGACCAACAGTGTCTCTTATCCTCTTTTCTTATGTATTCGTCTATTTCTTGTTTTGTTACTCTCTCCAAACTCAAGTTGGCTAGTTCCTATGCCCCTGAGTTTGCGGGGGCTGTTAAAACCTATCACCTACTTCACCACGTAACCCCTACTCCACTAACCTAACCCACTACACCCACTACACCTCAACCTACTCCACTAAAACCTAACCCACATACACCCACTACCACCTCCACTTCAGCTACTCCTTACCTACTACCACACTCACCCTCTTCTATATATAGAATCATGAATCATTGTAATTAAAATAACAAATAAATCAATCCAATAATACAATAAATCTTACAGATCGTTTTAAATCTTTTATTCAAACAATTGTTCATTCAATTTATTGTATTCGATTTCTGTGATTGAGAATACAGTTCATACAATTGTTTTACTTCTTATAATTGTAAAAATCAATTACAGAGAACAGAGAGAGAGAATCATATTATGTATATATTGATTGTATTATTGATTATTTATTAATATCCATTACAATGATTCATGATTCCTATATATAGAAGAGGTGAGTTGTATAGGTAAGGAGTATGGAAGTGGAGGTGGCAGTGGTGGTCGTAGT